GAGAAAATCAAACACTTTACCCTAGCATGTTGCTCATATTTGTGAAAAATCCATATTTTACATTCTGCTTATTTTTACTTACTGCTAAGTGATAAATTCCAAACCAAACCCCAATTTAAGTTTTTGTTTAATTAAACCACGAATTTAACTCAGTACTTATACGCAGTTCTCGAGATCAATCTTTGGGGAATTTCCCTATTATTACTACATTGGAAAAATAGTACATTTGATATCTTTCCGATCAGTAGATCAAAAGCCTTAAGGAGTCGGTGATTGTTATATCTCATAGGGGACTGAGTAGGTCAAAATTTTAAGGGATCACTAACAAGTTATCATTACTTTGTTGTTAGTTACCGACAGGTAGCCCGTGTAAATGTAATCTTTCATGATTATTGGATTAAGTCCCTTTCTAAGGAAAAATTACCTTGGCGGATGGATAAGAGTAGCCTTTTCTAAGGTGAACTTGTATAAATTGAATGTGTCATCTTTTCATTCCATATATTTCATCAATTTGAGTAAATATTATTTCTAAAGGGAAATGTTTTGAAAACCAATTCAATTCCCTCTTTCTTATATTTTTATCTACCTTCAATGAAGAGAGAGAGAGAGAGAGAGAGAGAGAGAGAGAGAGAGAGAGAGAGAGAGAGAGAGAGAGAGAGAGAGAGAGAGAGAGAGAGAGAGAGAGAGAGAGAGAGAGAAAATGAGGTTGGAAATTTCGACTTCGCTATTTTATTAAGTTCTTACCCAATCCCTTTTGGGTCATGTGGCTCACTCCTAGACGTTGGATGATTTAATTTCCATGTTAACATGGTGCCCTTATACAAGGTGCCCTTTGATCATGTTGGCTCTTGGATAATCAACAACTCAAGTGTTTCGGGAGGGAGTCAATCTTTGACTCCGTGGACTCCTTTGACAAACGTCCTTGGACCTCCTGGCTTTGGGCCTATCCATTTTATATTATTCATACTCCTTATACTGAATGCACCCATATTTTTTATGTTTTATTTTGTTTGGGCTCAAAAGCCCAATATTTGTCTTTTATTTTTACATCATTTCCTTTGTTTTTTCCACACCAATCTAGCTTCTTTCAATTAACTAGTTGTAAAATAAATAATTAAATAAATCTAATAGTTATGAATAGTTAAAAACATATAAAAACAATAAATTCAATCTTTTCAAAATAGACTCAAATGCTTGACCAACATCAAGACACTTTCAAGACCATTTCACAATCAAAACTTTCTCAAACGCAAATCAAACACTTAGTCTACATCAAGTTCTTTTCCCGCATAATCAAAAAAGTTCCCAAATATTTTTTTGTAATAAAAGTGGATGAAAAGGACTAGTTAGGCATATGCCTCTTTTTCCCCTGAGTATTTGAATACATGTTGTATAGCTTGTATTTCAAATACTCGTCTTCCACCTCAAAACATAATAATATGATTGAATCTAATTCACTCCCAATCGAATGAAAAAAGACTAATTAAGCATATGCCCCTACTTTCTTAGAGTACTTGGATTACTATTGTATATCTTGCATTTCGAATACTTCTCTTCTGCAAGTGATTTTAATTCTATTCATATCAAATACTTTTTCACAATAAAACAGATGAAAAAGAACTATTTAGACGTATTCCCCTCTTTTCTTGAGCATTCAGATACTGGTTGTAGAGCTTACATTTCAAATACATGTCTTCCACTTAAAAACAATCCAACCAATCAAACTAATTTTTTTCGCCCAAGTGCAACTACGAAAACCTTTTAAACGAGTATGCTTTATCCACTCGATGCGAAGCAAACAAATTCTCCAGCCCTCAAGCGCGAGCAACAAGCAATGTTTAACCACTCGGTGCAAACTAAGCATCATTATTTAAAAGCAACTAGCACACAGTTCTTTTCTACTAATAACTAAGTAGCCTTGAGTTCCCATTGCACCTGGGGATACGTAGAAGCGAGATCCAACGTCTCGCCAGGCAAAATAATAAAAAACCCTAAAATTCCCCTTTATTTTATTTTGTAAACACCACAATAATTAGAAGAAAACAAATAACTTATGCTAACACTCTTTCAAAAAACTAACTAAACGGTTCTCATCGAGTAAAATAGATGTGATGGATGCTAATACCTTCCCCATGAATAGCCGACTCTCAAACTTGAATTTGGTTGTGATGACCATTTTTTGGTTCTTGTAGGGTTTTATCAGTATTTTACCTTTTCTTTTGGAATAAATAAACTCTGATGGCGACTCTTTTATTATTTAAAGCTTTTGTACGCTCGAGTATTTTTTGCGCTGCGATAAGCCCTTTACTCATCACTTGACAAAAAACTTAGTTTCTTTAATAGTATCATCAAGCTCCGTTTTACTTTGTGTAATCCCTAAGAAACTAGACTTCTTTCCTTTTGGATTCTTATCAAAGTGCAAAGTAGGAACCATAACAATTGTATGTGTGCTCCATGTAAACATCATCATGTTATCTCATCTTTGATAATTGATATCATTGTCAAACTGCCAAGGCCTACCAAGTAAAATATGACAAACATCCATATCCAGAATATCACAAAGTACCTCTTCTCTATAATCATTTCAGATGGAGATAGGAACTTTATAGGCTAGTGTTACTGTTGGAAGCGTTATAGCGGAGAGAAACAAAAGTTTTTGAAATATTTATCCGGGAATTTATCGTGTCCACAGAGATTGGTTATTGAATGGTCGTTTAATAATTCTCTCATTAATGAGTTTGGAGATAAATGGGTTTGTAAAGAAAATGTTATCAACAGAAAATAAATGTAAACAAAAGTAAAAACTAAGGAAGAACTTATCAAGCCTGCATATAATCTACTCATCACAGACTTAAATCTACTGACCAGTTACATTCAAGCTAACAATACTCATCAATGTCACTACGTATCACTCACAATCTAAGTTATTTCTAACCCAAATTGAGAGACCGACTGTATCACCAAGGAAATGATCTCTCTACCTCCTTAACAATACAAAAGACAACTTATGTAATCGCATTGACGATCTCTCAGCACAACAGAACCATACAGAGGCATTAAGCTCTGATACTCAAGTAGATGTCAGCTCTAAATCTATCTTCAGAGTTCATAAACTAACAGATAATGATCCTAGATAAGAATCTAAGTAGTGTATGTCTATAACAACTCAAATCCCTAACACAGAGAAAAAATCTAAGATAATAATCGATAAACATTTTTAAAGCAAGTTTAATATAACGCCATGGATGGCAAATATACATAAGTTCAGAGTAAATACATGAACAAACTCAACACATAAAGAATACATAAAGAGGAAGAGAAATGAACCACAAATCTATCAGTTTATCAGCACCAATTGATGAGCAATCTATCCTGGATCATCCTTATGCAAGGTTTAATGTTATATTCTAAGCTAATCCTATTACAAAATGAAGGGTGATGGAGTTGGGGTCAAAATACCCAAATCCACCCCCCCTCCCCCCAAATGTGTTTTTACACCTAAATACGTATTTCTGACTGCCCAGCATCGCCCGACGACCAAAAAGCGTCACCCGATGACCAAAATAGCATTTTCCCCATACTACAGTTTGTCTAGCGTCGCCCGGCGACGAATGATAGAAAGTTGAAAAAACCAGCACAACATTCTGCACTATTTCGGCCATAACTTTTTAACCGCAACTCCGATTCGCACCCGGTTCGAAGACTTGGAAAGATTATTCAATTCTCTTTCTAACAATGCCTAAATATCAAAGCTTGAATACCTACAAAAATAAGATAAAATAAATTAAACTCAATGATATTTACATAATAATGCAATAAATAAACTATAACATAAACTATATTGAATATACACTAAAGTTGAGGTTTATTGACAAAAAGCAAACAAATTAAGCCAGTAAGTTCTAATTATTCACACTCAAATTCACAAAAATTTAGCACTCATCAGTTACTCGAACTTGAGCGCCCCTGTTTGCCCAACCGAGGGTGTATGGCTTCTCATGGGGTTTTATGGATAATTTCATATAATCTACCAATTTCTATGACACTAGATTCTCCATGATTCCAGTATCCACATTTAGACTACACACCTTGTTCTTGAAAGAATATTGTATTTTAAACAAATTCTTGTGCGAACCTTCATCTTTGAATGCTAGTAAGATTTTCTACAACACAAAATTTACCCTCTCATTAGATTCTTCCTCTGTAAACTCAACTTCTGCATATTCATCGTTTTAAACTGCATGTCCCAATATTTCCTCTTCCTCTCCTATTTCTTCGACAACAACATTGACTCTCCTTGTTTGACAAACATTTGATATGTGACCTTTCCCATTACAACGATAACACGTGTCTCTAGTGGGTTTAGCATATGGGGTATTTTGTCTCTATATTGGGGATTTACCTTGCTGGACATCACTAGAGCTGCTAGCACCCTTATTCTCAAGGTTGGAATCCCTAGTTGCTACATTTTTGCTTGTCACCTACTGATTCAAAGTTATTATGGGGATAATACCTAAAAGGTTAGAAATTTCGAGGGATTTCTGCATCAATTCTTACTGCAAGGATCCCTTTAAGCCATTTGTGTATCGATCTACTTTTAGGCTCTCTGATTCTTCCAATTCATTATTCTTAGAGAAACGTAGGAACTCACTTGTGTATTCTGTTACAATTCTCTTTCTCTGAACACACTCAATATACATCTTATAAAGAATCTACTTATAATCCTTCAATAAAATCCGCTCCAACATCCATTGTTTCATTCTTCGCCAACATTTGACTGAACCTACTTTTTCCCCATGCCTATGAACAACAAGCATATCCCACCAGAAAGCAGCAATACTCTTCATACTAATCGCCACCATCTTAACTTGCTTGTTCTCAAGGAAGCCCATAACATCGAAGAACCTGTCAATGTCGATATGCCAATCCAAAAACTTCTTCACTCCCATAGTTCCATAGAATAATAGAATATCAACCTTTACTCGATAAACATGGTTATGTCAATTCCCATGATCAACTACGTCTTCCTCATAAGGTTCTTCTTCTTTAGAACTCAAATTTTCAGCAATAACACTATGATGATTGTTGACATCCCGCATAACCCTAACTTCTTGTCCCACCATGTCTCTTCGCAAATTCTTATTGTTGTTGGTGTTGTTCACCCTATTTTCTAAATTTACCATAAGTTCAGTCAAAGCAGCTAGAGTCACGGTATAAGGCATAGTAATCTCCTCATGATCTACTCTGGTCACCAGTTGATCCGCCATGTTTGTCAAGCTACAAAGAAAAAGATAAAACTTGCTCTGATGCCAATTGACGCAATCAGAAACCTTAGGAAATAAAAAGGCGTTAAATTTAGAATGAAAACACAGGATTGTAAAAGTAAAACCTTTCAAATAAGATTTGGAATCCACTAGATAAAGAAAATACTTAATTTTATTAACATCATAGATATCCTTGATGGCCACACCCAAAGGTGTTTAAATACAACAAAAAAACATGAATTAGATTTTAATCCAAAACAGAATAAAATACAAAAAACAAGCCCTAATTAACTTTTAATCCAAAAAAGAAATAAAATAGAAAATTGCAGAAAATATTAAAATATGACTTTTAAGTCTGAAACAAACTCGGATGACATGAAAAGCCTTCTTACATCACAACAAATTGTTAGAAATTATATATTTTTCTTGTGGTGTATATGTGATAAGACTTAACAAGATTAAATTAGAAATGAAAATATTATAGAAAGTATCATAGTAGTGCATATACTGGAGAAGATGGTGAAAAATAAACTTAGACAGTTTGGACATGTAGATAGGAAATCGGTAGACCCTGTAAGGAATAGTGTAGACCGAATGGAGAGAAGACAAACAATTAGAGAAAGATGAAAACCAAGAAAGACTATAAGGGCTTATTTGAGAGTTTGGGGGGGGGGGGGGGGGGGGGGGGACTTTGAAAAAAGAGAAGGATTGAGTGAAAATAATAAAAGGATTTTGGTTGGGAGGGTTTTGGAGAATTTACTTTTATTTATAACACAAAAAATCCTCTAATTTGAGGATACTCAAAATTTGTATTGTATGAGAGTTTTGGAGGGCTTATATAAATTTTTGAAATATCTTCTATGTTGTTATAGTATTCTGAAAATTAAAAATATAGTAATGATAAACAATCTTTTATCATTTTATACAAAATCATTATTTTTAAATGTCAAATATTTTCCTATATTTTTTTTAAAATACATTTTTGGAACTCTTCCTTTCCCCTTCTCTCCAAACTTCCAAACAAAGCATAAGAGAAGTTATTAGGAAATATCTTGAGATAAATGATTTGGATAGAAGCATGCCTTTATCAGAACATTATGACGAAAGTTTCTCCATGTAACCGATCACACTTAGTGGGATAAGTCTAAGTTATTGTTATACGTTAGGGGCGGTTTTCACCGCTAAAAACCAACAATTAAGAAAAGTGCTTTTGCAGGCGGCTTTGGCAGCCAGCCAAAGGTTGACTAGTTTTTTAATATAAATTAAATTCTAAATAAATTTTATTTTAAAATTTTATAACTATAGTCCATAAATTTAAAATTGTATGTTTTAATTAATATTATGTCATTTAAATCATTATATATAATTTATCCATTCAAATCAATAATATGTTTTGAAATTCGATGATGGATATTGTAATACGGTGGACGAGCTGACTTGTTTTTGCATTTTATCGCAAATATTGAGGATAGCAAGATTCGCCTCCGACTTTTATTTTATCCAAGAAGGAAAGGGTGAAAAGAACAGGAAAGACCTTCGAGATATTTTGAGTTCGGGGGGTAGATTATGAAAAGGGAAGGTGTTAGCACCCTTTTCATCCGTAGTTATCCACGGGCTCTTAATCACTAGCTCACTTTTGTTTTGAAGACGCTTTGTGAATGTGTTTTTTAAAATATGCCTAAGTACGACAACTTTGTAATGATTCTTGTATCAGTTAAGAATGCGTAAAAAGTGTTTGTTTTTAAAAATATTTTAGAGAAAGTGTTTGTGAAAAAGATGTTTTATTTTGGTGATCAAGCGATTAAGAACTATCTGCCTACTCAAAGATCTTTCATGTTATTTTACTCCTCCTTTATATAGTTCTATCCTACCATTAGTTAGTAGGAAGCAGTATCATTGGATGTGAAGGGACATGTGCGGGTCATCATACAGTCATAAAGGCAACTCATATGGGCGCTTTAGCAATTTATCGTAAGGGACTAAGATCGTTTACCGAAGGTAGCATCATAAGGGTCATCGAGGGACTACAGGCTTTTAATTGAGGGTCTTTGCTAAAGCGTCCCCACGTTCGAGGGACATGACTGTTTATATCTGAGGTAACAAGTGAGGTTATCCTAGAGGTACATGTGTGCGAAGTGTGTTCAATTCAGTTATTTTATCTTTGAATTAGGGTTTTGCTATGATTGATTTTAATCTTTCCATATGTTGTACCCAAAAATTTTCCCTCCCATTTCTTCAATACTTTTCTCACAAAAGATCTCAAATGCTCAAGGATTCTCAAAGAGTTGATCAGACAAGCTCACCTCCTAAGCACTGAGACCACAAATTAGGGTTTTATTTTTATCAAGGATAATTAGACTTATAATTCCTCAACTTACTTTCATGGTTCATTATAGACCTCCAAGAATGCTCATACCAAGTTTCAAGTGTTACATCTCAAATTTGCTCAGTCAATTGATCAAATGACTGAAAATCAATTGTATTGGATAAAAAGTCAATTATGGTCAATATACAGTCAAACCTCAATTTTTTTGGCTAACATCAACATTTTGAAGTCATATTCATCAATTGATCAAGTATTGATCATAATGCTTCAAGGAAAGCACTCAAATCATCAAAGGAGTAAAATGGTGAAAATTAGGGTTTTGATTGAGAATGATTGATCATTGACTTTTGACCTAGTACATGACCTAATGGTTTGAAGAATGATCTAAAGGACTAAAACAAAACATATTGACCTAATTTAATGGCTCAAATCATTTCTCAAGATCAAGGGATTGATAGTTGAAATTTGGACCAACTGATGAAAAGTAAACTGACACACAAAAAGTCAAACTTTGACTTTATGGTCAAATTTGAATTTCAAAGATCAAGAATCACCAAGACATTAAAAAATGTCAAACTTGACAATCAAGAATCAAGTAAGTCAAGAAAAGTCAACAAAAGTCATTATTTTCAATACTTAAAAAAAATTCTAAGTGTTTTTTACCTTGATAACTTCACTACTTCATGACAATTTTTCACCAAGACGCAAGATGATTCAAGGAAAAATTTCGACATGAAAGTTGTATATCTTGATTAATTATAAAACTTTATCCTTGAGGTTTGATATCCAAAAAATTCTTAGATTTGAAGATATAGGCTCATGAAGTCATGACTTTTTTACAAAACACTTAGTGAAAATTTTAGCAAGTTTGGTCAGATTTTTGTTTCAACTTCTTGGAAATTTTTCACTAAGATCCAAGTTGATTTAGCCAAAGTGGTAAACATGAAGGTTGTAGGAAATGTTTCAAGCTTTCCAAAATGTCCAAGAACTTGAAGAGATCATACTTTAGCTAATAGAATCGAAGAGAAGAAGTTGAGCATCCATTCTTGAATTATAAGCCATTTTCATGAAGAACACATGATCATATCTCAAACCTATGTTGCATAATCTTGATTTGCAGGCTTCTAACTTGCAAATAACTCCATAATTTAATGTTTACACAATTGATTGATCCATCGTCCAAGTGATTCAAGATTTGTCCTAATTGATTTGCCATTTAGGGAAGAAAGCCAAGACTTCCATTTTGATAAAGTGGCTTTAATCACAAAGTACGCTCTCCTTGAGCCTTGCACTTGTTGCTTCTGAGCTTACACAATCTCAAAGCCAGAAAAATGACAGAAGTAATATATATTTAATTTGTAAACTTAATCTCAAAAGTGAAAATGCCTCAGTGGTTAAGTAAATTGCGTAGTGACTAGTCTGTACCGGGTTCGAATCCAGGCTAAGTCTAAAATTTTGAAATGTTTTTTTAGAATTTTAATGACCTTGATAAACATATGCCACATCAAATTCCACTCGTATAAACATATCTCACACGTCAGATGCCAGCAAGCAAAAGTTGACGTCGTTTGAGAAAATTGGACAGAAAGGACTAACGTGGACCTTTTTAAACAATTAAAGGACCACTTTGGAACTTTTTAAAGATAAGGGGCCAGAATGGACCCCGAGGTAAACTTAAGGGACCAAAAAGGATATTTTGCCTTAAAATTAAAACCCTATTCCTAGACCGTAAACCTAAACTCTAGTATCCTTGTGAACAAGGTAGACGAAGGGTGCCTAACACCTTCCCTTCGTCTAAAGCAAGTCAACAACTTAGAATCTCAGATCCAAATTAGGGTTATCCATTTTATTTCCTTCCTTATGATAAAAATTAATGACGACAACTCTATATTTTTAGCCGGTTATTACAAACAGGTTTTGTAGAATTGTGACATCCTAAATGTTTAGGCATTAATTTTCCTTTGATAATGATTATAAAACACTAGGGGGGATATTTAGGGTGTTACAAGCTAACAACGCGTTTTATAGGCTACTACCAGATTAAGAAGAGGGTAGGAGAGGTGGCATATCCGATTGATTTATCAATGTCGCTTACTAATCTTCATGATGTGTTTCATGTGTCTCAGCTGAGGAGATACATTTCGAATCTATCTCATGTGAACCAAGTGGATGATGTACATGTGAGAGATAACCTAACAATTGAAGCATCACCCATGCAGATAGGGGATCAGGAGGTGAAGCAATTATGGGGTAAAGATATTTCTTTAGTGAAAGTAGTGTGGGGAGGACCAACTGGTGGGAGTATGACTTGGGAGCATGAGGATCCGATGAGAGAGTCATACCCAACTATGTTTTCCTCAGGTAATTTTCAGAGACGAAAGTTCTTTAAGTGGGGGAGAGTTGTAACACCTCAAATCTAGAATTATGTTGCTTACATATTTATTTATAAATATTGTGTGATTTATGATGTTGTGTTTGTTGGATTATTGGTGGGAATATAAGTCCTTAAATTAGAATTATTTAAATTATTAAATAATAAATTATGTGGTTTATTAATAAAATAATGAGGAAAATAAATAAATTAGAGTATGTAGAGATTTAAGGGGCGATTAGGTAATTACAGGAGTATAAGTGAGGGCATATGAGGGAAAATATAGAAAGGGTCTAGTGTTACTAG